AGTGCCCAGCCTTTAACCTTGCCTTTCTCTCCCCTACACAAAAACCACGCTTGTCCCAGCTCCCTTTCCCCTACCCCTCCCACACTACTGCTTTCACTTGTATAGTTGCCCTTCCCCCTTCACCCTCACTGCTCTCACATAGCATGTATATTCCCAAACAGTCTGCTTTTACCGGTTCTCACGGTCTCTTCGCTTGCAGAATTCTTATATTTTCTTCTACCCTGAAGATGGAGGCGATACGTTCCTCCGAAACGTCGGTTAACACCACTTATACACGGTGCCAAATCCCAAAAGACTGCTTTCTTCATAGTCACCGCCGTGAAAGCCTCAAATCTTACTACTATAACTTGCCATGCAACATACTACTCTGTCCAAAAAATATCTGACCTTGGTTGGGAAAACAAAGTTCTGTATCTGGGTGGTTACAGTACCTAATCCCCTTCAAAGTAAGCCCCTTGTGACTCCACACACTTAGCCCAGTGGTCCTTCCATCACTGGTAGCAATTCTGGAAGGCTTCTTTTGGAATGGCGTGCAACTGCACCATTGCATTCTGTATGATGTCCTTGCAGCTGTCAAAACGGGAGCCTTTTAGTAGTGCCTTCAATATTTGGAACAGCCAGAAATCACAAGGAGCCATGTCAGGAGAGTAGGGAGCCTGTGGCGAACCTGCAGAATGCCGTGCTTGGCCAGGAAACCCTGGATCAGGTACGATGAATGAGCTGGGGCGTTGTCATGATGCAGCTGCCAGTTGCGTGTGTCCCACAGCTCCAGTCTCTTGCGCCGAACTGCATCATGAAGATGGTGGAGGACTTCTTGGTACTACTCCTTATTGACAGTTTGGCCTAGTGGTGCATACTCATGATGCACAACGCCCCGGTAATCGAAAAATCAGTCACTATCACCTTCACATTGCTTCGAACCTGTAATACTTTTTTGGGCCTCAGGGATGTTGGATGCTTCCATTGTGATGCCTAGACCTTGGTTTCCAGGTCATGTCTATACACCCACGACTCGTCACCAGTGATCACATTCTTCAGGAACTCAGGATCCTTGTTGGTGCACTCCAGCATATCCTGTGCAACCTCAAGATGGAGTTGTTGCTGCTCCGGCAAAAGTAGTTTGGGCATGAATTTTGCTGCCACTCTTTGCATGCCCAAATCCTCACTTAAAATTGTGTTTGCAGAACCTCTCCTGATCCCAGCCTCATCCGCAACTTCCTGGATGGTGAGACGATGGTCCTCCATGATCAGTGTCCACACTTTTTCAATGACATCAGCATTTTGGCTTGTTGACAGTCTCCCAGAATGCTGATCACTGTCCGCCAACATACGGCCATTTTTAAGCGGTTGAACCACTCTTTAATTTTAGTGACCCCCATTGCATCATTGCTGAAAGCCTGCTGAATTTTGTGGGTTGTTTCCACTTGGGTATCCCCAAGTTTCTGACAAAACTTGATGCAGTATTGCTGCTCCAAGCATTCTGTCATCTTGAGCAAAACAAGAATGCAATGAACATGTGTTACACCACTTCACTATCTGGCAGCCACAGGCATATCCGGTGGTGTTGCGAGTCAGGAAAGAAATCATGCATGTGCATGAAAGTCTCTTCTACCACTACGCTCAGTTTCCCCACCCCTTTGGCCATTACTTACAGGGATAAAAAATAAAGTTGGATACTTTTTGGACAGCGGTGTATGTGCAGTTGTATCCATCAAATTAAACTGACTACATAACACAAAAAGGATCAGCTGTAATATAATCGTATCACATCAGTAATTATAGATGAAGAATGTAATGGGAAGATATCACTTGAAATACCTAGGTATAGATGAGAGGCTGATATTAAAGTGTAACTCAGAGAAGTTGGTTTTCAGGATGTGGGCTGAATTCATCTGGTCCAGGATGGGGTCCAATGCGGACATGTTAATAAACCTTCAGGTTCCATAGAAATAGGGGAATATTTCTCTTGTTCCTGAATTCATATAAACACATATTTGGCAAATTGCAGTCCTTAATACAATCACAGTTCACTACAAGATGACAGAGATGTTATATCTCTTTGTTGGACTGAACAGGTTGTCTCAAACAGTAATGCTTGTAACTTGCATTTGGGATATGCCCAGTTTGAGTCTTGGTTGGGATACTGGTTGTCCTGACTGAGGTATTTCATGGCCTTCCTCAGCCCATCAAGGCAAATAATGTGAAAGTACTGTAAACTAGGCCACGATTGCTTTCTTCCATATCCCTTTCAAGTCATTTCAGTACTCAAAGTTCTGCCTCTTGAACGTGCATGTGCGTTTATCGATGGGGCCACCCATGTTCCCAGTAGTGAAAAGGAAGTTGTGTTATGCAGTTGTTGGAAATGGGTCTCTCGATGGAGGAAAAAGTATTCATAGTTGAGTATAATTTCCACTCATACGGAAGTGGTCGCCAGACAACTCGCTTCCTTGGTTTTCAGCAGCCAGATGTTATCATCCAGAAACCACTACACGGTACATGTGTGACGATATGGTGTGCCATCTCAGCACACGGTATATTAGGCCCCTATTTCATTGAGGATGAGGAAGGCAATGCTCTTACCATCACCCAGGAACACTGCAGGGACCTGGTGATTAGACCATTTCTTCAGGATTTGAGAAGGTTCTGTAGTGCTAGGGGCCTTCACATGAATAGACAGTGGTATCAACAGGACGTCTTTTTTCATTTCAGTGCTGTAATTTTGGCGCATACTGTACTTGTAGTTTCAGGTCCAAACCTTCTTATAATGAGTATCTGTTATTATGTAAATTTTTCACACTTTCATTACAATGAACTGTAGTTCTTTGTATCCTCAGTGTGTAGGCTGATATGTTTGAAGGAAATTAGCCATCACAAGTTTTTTTCTAGATCATTCTTTTAATTTTAGAGTTTAAGAATAAAAGTGTGTCATTAAAGCCAACATATTAACTTTATCATATGGGAAGAGGGAATTTCAGATTCCCTGGTACTTTTGTGCTTGCAGTTGGGTTTTAATTGAGAATCAGTGCTATTAGTATTGAAGAAGTGCAACACTCAGCCAGCTGGAGTACAAGCATCTGTTGCAGTAGTGCAGCACAGCTGGTAAACGTTAACAAATGTCAAAATTTTCATATGCAGTGGAATTCCCATTTCGTGTTCATCGATATAAAGTTTTCCTTCATTTACTGTTCAATTTCTGTGATCCCAGGTCAAGAAGCACAGTTTTAAATTTCCAACAGTTAAGGTTTTCCTTGATTTAGTGTTCAGATCCACTGCTCTCCGAAGGGTGTTTTGCGTATATGAAGTGGGGAAAGACATACATTGAGATAGCTTGCATTTCCTTATGTGTTAGATTACTTTATCTGCTGCTGATTGGGCATTTTGTGAATATATGTTAGTTCAAGTACAGTAAACTTCCTGTTATACGGTATGTGTAGTGAAAGGGGTATGCCACAATGAATCTGCCAGTTGTATGAGAAATACTCTGAAATACAGTACAAAGGCAAAAGAAGCTGTTGATTTAGTTCTTGAGTGGTGATCTTCCTAGGCGATGTGGCAGATTGCTGGAAGATTTTGGTTACATATACTGTAATTTGATAACAAATTCAATGAACCTCTTCTGTATTGCACCTAAATGAGGGAGGATGACAGCACTGCTAGTTGGGCTAGGGAGAACTACTGCATGGTGGGTGAAAATATTTTAACGTGTTTCGTTACAGAATACGCCGTAGAGATCGTTAATTGGTTTATTCAACAATCTACAACTATCGGCTACAATTAATTATGACAATGTTACGGGTTTCCACTCTTTACAAACCCTACAACAAAATCTCTTAACACTATCTTCAAGAGTCTTCACGTATTAATAACGTGGGAGCTATACAAGTCTCCCTGAATTACACACTCCAGATATAACTGGTTATCACTGGTTATCGCACACGCGTCTGTAGCTCGTAACTTGCGAACTGAGAACTCGTTGGTAACGCACTCGGCGACTGTCACAGTACAACCGACTGTGAATAGCCTTCGCTGCTCCTTATGTAGCCTCGATCGGACAATACGGCCACGTAATAGGCACCCTTGTTGCCTGGCGCTGTGTTGCTAGCAACGCAAGCGGTAGTAACCACTGTTACTACCGTTACAATCCGGTTGCGTCACCGTTACGTTACCGTGCGGAGGAGGGGGAGGGGAGCACTGACTCACCCGCCGCGTCACTGCTGGTGGGGGGGGTTCTCTTTTGCGCAACATGTCACAATATGTTCTGGATAACTTAAAAAGAAGTAAATTTCCTTTTTTTTTTTTTTTCTTTTTTTTTTCTTTTCTTTTCTTTTCTTGCCAATTACATGTGAATTCTGCATGTTTGGATACAGGATAACTGGGAGTTTACTAAAATTAACTGTTGGATAGCAGTTACTCATTGAAAGCTGTATAAATACCATTTGGAAACCTATGTTCATTTAACTTTCTTTTCAAATAGGTTATGTGACACAGCAACCTGTGTATGGTGATACACCCCAGGATCCACAATCAGCTGGGACACCACCTCTTCAGCTGTTGCCTCCACATGCTCACCCACCTGCTCCAGCATATGCTGCACCATTTCCATCACCTACAGCAACTTTTGTTGCTCCTCCAGCTCCACGTATGTTACCCCCTGGAGCAGGAGCCCCTCCCACATTTATTCCAGCCCCTACACCAGGTACACCTATTATCAATTATGTAGCTACCCCACCAACATATACAGCCTTTCAGGGATATACAACTGTGGTGAGTTACATGTGTTACGTAGATAGGCCATAACTTCTTTATTAAGACTGTTACAACACAACTATATCAAGGTCAGATCCTGGTTTTGGCTCTGCTACATATTTCGGCTATTGATAGCCATCATCAGGCAAATACATGGCTAACATATATATACACCACTGAACTGCAGTATTAATAAAAGTGGATACTTACTTACTTACTCATGGAGCTGAGCCCTTCTGGGGGAACTGCCAATTCTGCAGCTACTCAAGAATTTCTCAGCATTATATGAAACCCGAAGGTTCATTACCGTGTTCACAAGAGCCCTCCACTGGTCCCTATCCTGAGCCAGATCTATCCAATCCATACCATCCCATCCTATCTCTCTAAGATGCACTCTAATATTGTCCACCCACCTATGCCTTGGTCTTCCCTGTGGTCTCTTTCCTTCTGGCTTTCCCACCAATATCCTATACGCATTCCTTGTCTCCCCCATTCGTGCTACGTGACCTGCCCGCCTCAATAAAATTGGATATAATAATATTAATTGTATTAAAATACTCGATGTAAAAATACAATAAATTAGATTATATAAAACAAAAGTTATAGTATAAAACAAGAATAAAGTTCTCCGATTAATGCTTTCCATCATTGAGTCAGTCGTTGGTTTTGTGATTTTGTTTCGTTCCCATGGAGAAATCAGAATATTCTATATTTTGTGTATAAAAACTGTAATAGGAGGCTCGTGATGTAGATGTAGGAATATTAATGTTAATTATTTAGTCGGTGCCTCATCTTACAAAGTATTGTCCGTTCTATAGGGAATGTAAACAACATTGTAAAGAAGTTACATATTATAACACAACAGGATGCATGAAATGAAAATTGTAGATAGGCCAGTTAAGTACCTCCAGTTGAGCAAATTAATTAATCTTTTAAATCTGTTGTTCAGTCATTCCTAGTTTTGTTACTACAGTGGACCATCAGTTAACAATATTAATTGGTTCCACAAAAATCATTGTTAATTGAAAGTATCATTAGTCGGATATAGGAAATGTGTGTTAACTCTTCATTTCCTGCGTTTAAACACCGCAGTTGTGAGTGGCCTGCAGTAATATTTTTTTTAATGCCCAATTAGTTTTTGCTCCAAAAACTTTTGAACTGTAAGAGATATAATGAGGAATTTTTCACTGAAATTGCTGGAGAAGACCACTATATATGGTTGCCTTGTAACATGACTGTGCTGTATATTAATGTTAGAAGCAGCTGGATTAGAAGTTTATATTTGTATGGTAGATCTTGAAACATCTGAGTGCAACCCTGCTTTACATACACTACACCAATAAATAGGTTCTCTCCTTTTCCATGTTTTGTACACATGACACATTATCTTGAGGTTTTGTCTGCTTTCTTACAACAGCAATATGCTCCAGCAAATGTCATTCTGAGTCAGGCTGTGGTTCAGTTAATGAATGGCCATGTACAATACAAGGAACGCCAGAACTGTGTTTTTCTAGAAGGCCTTGGGCTAGTGAAAGCCTGAATTATAGTGAATCTATGTTTTTGTTATTAAGGAGTCACTGAACCGTGACCATTGCATTATGTATTGCTGCACTGAGCAGACTCCTGAATGATTTCAGATACCACTCAGTACCTTTAATTTGTTCCAGCAAGTATGGCTATAACATTTACTTTTACTGCATCCCTAAAATTTTGATACATAGGGGAATATTAGGGGTTCCAAAATGAAGCATCTCATGCAAAACTCTATGTCAGGAAAATTGGATGTTTCACAACTTCGTGTAGACAAATATAAAAAATAAATATGTTGTTGCAGAAATTTTCTGTTCCCTAAGTCTTAATGTCTGGCCAGAATGGGAATTCATTTTATATGTACAGTGCAGGTACATATTCCACAAAGGAGTACTGCTACTGTCTGTACTGCTAATTCTGACATTATCGTCATCATCATTTGGAACATTAGGGAATACACTGGCATTTAATTTTAGTTTCTGTTTTGAAAGTTAGGGATCTAGTAAATGAACGCTTTTGCTCACTAGATAAAGTTTTACAGCATACTTACGAGAGAGAGTCAGTAAGTAGGTCACAAATAGACGTAAAACATAAAACATGTTATATTCTAACCTGGGAAAAACATTTATTTCTAAACATAGCCTCCACCAACAGTGGTACACTGGTCCCATCGCTTTACCTCTGCGTCAAAACCCACAGCATAGTAGTATCATCTTTTGCCTCAGCCACTTCTGCACCTAAATTTGAACCTCTTCATTGTCAGTGAAATGTTTACCACCAAGGTGGCGATTTATTGACCTAGTTATGAAGCATTTTACGTAACAAACACTTGCCACCTTAAACAAGAAACATTTCATGATTTATTTAATCCGTCTTGCAGTGCATACACTCATTTATTTCCTTCTCTCCCTCGCACTACATGTTTCGGCATAATAATGCCATCTTCAGGTGCTTACTTATCCACGTCAAACCAGTTCATTGCATGCCATGTTCACACATTAAAATAACTAAAATATGTATCTATCATATACATTGTCAAACGTTAAAAATATTAAAATTGTTCAGGATACCACATCGCTACGTCGCCCCTCACTACGTCAGTCACGCCCATTCTCCTTTGTTGGAGCACTCCTTCACTATCTTGTGTGTTGTGCTTTTGTTGTGTCGTGCTCCTGCGACTGCGTGTGTTACATTTCTTCATGAATATCCTTGCATTGAGTCCTTTTACCCGCAAAAAACGCACAGCAGATTGCTGCTTTCGGTGGTACACTCCTCACCTCTTACATCCATTACAGCTGTTTTATTTCCATTTGTGATCTATTTAGTGACTCCCTTGTACTTATTTAAATAAAGTGGATTATATTTGTCTACAAATATAAGGATTTGGTGCCCCATGTTTCATTGCACATAAAAATTAAACCAGCACTAGATTTTGATTAAACTTCTTCTGACTCCAGCCAGCTCCAGGACCCCCTCCAGCTGAGTTATATCAACCGCAAGGGGGTATTACATACTACAACACGGAAGAACAGAATATAGCTCCACGTCCAGTTACACAGAAAAGGCAGAGAAGTGCCATTCCCATAGTTCCGCCTCCAGAACGTACCCCACGTGGACGTGGCAGGACCATCCGGGAAGAGGTTTCCCCTGGTAAAATAGGGGGTGCAGGAGACTCACACTCTGTCCCACCCCCTGCTGCTCCTTCACCACCAGCCACAGCCAGTTTTGAAGATGCAGTCCCATCCAGTTCTGCTAGCCCAGCAGCTACAAAAGTGGCATAGAGGTACTAAAAGAACATTAGGAAATAAAAATTATTGTATTTTCTTTATCAGGTGGGTAGTTCCATTGTTAAATACATAAATAAATTAAAAGTATTCTCAGGATATGTGTAAAGTTCTGTTTTGGTTCATGTTTCATCTTTGCCCATAAAATATTTGTGGAAGAGCTGGTATAGGGAAGAAACAAAAGTTGGGAGGAAACATTATTACAGTTCTCTGCATGCTTATTTCCACATTCCACTCTGCTGATAACAGTAATTGAAATTACTACTATGAGGTGTATGTTGTTGAAGAGATAAATTACTTTTGCTTTAAAAGTAAAATGCTTTCTGAAATGAGATGTTGGCACCTCTGTAATGAAACACTTGTGACCATATTTTTCTTGCAGTATGTAATTTCTTCGTTCTGATCATTGACTGAATGTTTCTTTCCAATTTATGATTCCTGTGTTTTGAATAACAGCCAAACACTACATGTCAACAACTCTTAAAAATACACAAAACAGTATACAAGACGGCATACAATACAGTCCTTTGATCAGTCCCTGTGCCATAGCTTGCCAACCATGGATGACAACTCCCAACAATTTAATATAAAGCAATAAATATACTTAACCACCAAAACACAAGTCAGCCATGCAAAACAAAACACATGTTTAGTGAAGATAACAGTCCAAAGACCATCTGTATACGTCTGTATCATATCAAAACTAACTCAAATTACCAAACTATCGTCTTATCATTGTTTCTAAAAACTCTTGTGGAGAATAAAAACAGAGTTGTAATAAATAACTTTATAATTTATTTTTAAGAACCTTATACTTTTCTATTCTGTTTAATTCAGAGCGTAAGTTATTATGTATTTTTATTCCCATGTTAATTACACTTTTTTACAATGAGTAGTGTTGAATAATTGGACATACAAATCCTGTTTCCATTTTGTGTTATACTTATGAATATCAGAATATTTATTCATATAGATCTTACTCTTTTTTTGTATAGCGCAAGATCTCAAATATGTATAATGAAGTTAACAGTTAAAATGTTAAAATCACCAAACAAACTTCTGCAAGACACCCTGTTATTAATTCCTTTAATAAGTCTTAGACCTTTATTCTGTATTTTAAATACTACATTACTGTCATTTACCCCCCTCCCCAAAAAAATATATAATTCCATTTTTCAATATAGATTTCAAATTTTGTAAAATAAATATTTCTTAATACAGGTATACTTACTGAGCCATGTAAGGATTTAATCAAAGAGCTTTGTTTAAGTTTTGGCAAAGGTATTGTATATGAGTGACCCGGCTTAAGTTTTCTGTGATATAAATACCTACAAATTTTAAATTTGATAAATGAGTTATTTCTTTGTTATTTAAATACAGAACGTGTCTAAGAATTGTCTAAGAATTAATCTACATTCTCCCCTCAAATAGTATTGGTTTGGTATTTTCCATATTTATTATAAGATTATTTGTCAAGAACCAATTTTCTAATTGTTTCACAACTTTTACGATATTCCTTTTTAAAGATTTGAGATTTTTCTCAGTGAGTAATATATTGTGTCATCCGTGAATAACACCACCTTAGCTTCTTGAAAACCTTGGGGAAAATCATTTATAAACAACAAGAACAAAAGGGGTATCAAAACAGAACCCTGAGGTACACCATATTTTATTTCTTTACATGACGAAATATTTCAAGAATTAAAAAAAAAATGGCAAGACTAAAAGTGGTCCATAATTGGAAATTTCTTGTTTCCCTCCTTTTTTGTGAATAGGCCGAAGTTATCAAATTTTGGAAGGTTCCAGAACATAATGAAATGTTATATATAAAGGTTATTGGTTTTTTAATAAACTTAATACTCTCTTTTACTAACTTTCTGGTATTTCGTCATAGCCCACTGAAACTATAACTTTTAGTTTACTAGTTACATTTAATACCTCATCTTCAGTAGTTGGTGCAGAAACCATGGAATTTGAATGTAATATTTTATTACTAACCAAATTTACAATCCTGATTTTGATTGAACATCCTCTCTACATTCTCTGTGAAAAAAGCATTATTTGCTAAATCCGTGACTGAATAAACAGTCCTTGGGAAGAGTTATTTTACACAAACAGTGAAGTGCATCTTCTCAATTTATGTATGGAGAATAAAAACATGCGGATGGATGCATAGAACAGTTTGTGCTGTTATTAAGAAACATTGTTTTTTGTTAGATTAAGTATACTCTTTTGTAAGGACAGGTAGCTTAGTAATTTGTGAATGAAGTAGAAGGCAATGATCGTTATTTAATTATGCTGTATGTGAACGAATTACAGTGGTGCTTCCAAATCAGTGTGCAGTCATTGCAGGTTTCAATGTCTCATGGAGGAGAGGACATGAGGGGTGGCACTAGTTGATTGGTTTGAGACGTAGGATTGCATATGCAATGTTTTTGGTTCTTACAGTGGTGACTATAAAAATTTCTGTCTTCTAGGGTGCAACAGCAAGTAGTCTGGTAAAGTTACCAGTGGTTTGGAAGAACCTGCTGCCTCCATCTATTGAGTATCCTGAACAAGGAAGCAGTAGGTTCCTCAAAATGTTTATAATGATCTACCAGGCTACACAATGTCACATCCCAGAAAACAACAATTTTCAGGATTGAATTTTCTTGCAAAAGTAAGATTTACTAGCTACTACCATAAATCTCTCATCAGCATTGTAAGATGTAGGATAACACTACATATCACAAAATGAGATCAGTTTTATTAAGTTTCTAATCCAAAATAATGTATACCACTATCACCATGACTGCACGTTTTGTAACAAAATGCATATATGCATGAATTCATGCTGTAATTTTCTAATGCATGTGCTGTTATATTAAATTGGGACTTAGCAGAAGTTTTGTGGATCCTCTGAGTAACTCACATATTCAGAACGTTTCTTTGTCTCAACATTAAAGCATTTTCACCTGAACAGAGTAAGTGAGCAACAAGAAATGGGGCCTTAAATGATCAAAAGTAATGATTTCCAATCATCTACGCTAGCAACTTCTGGATGAAGGTATACAGTAAAAACTAAGGGATGTTCTTGGGTTTGCATGTGAAAATAATACACATTTATGGAGGAAATTATAAGAACTGTAATGGGAAAACTGCTTTGCTAGTCTGTAAATGTAGTATTTTGTGGTGGCCCTTTTCTCTTGGTTTCAGATTAAAATTTTACGTTTTCTTTTAGATGAGTATTGAATGAATTTTTAAGTATGTGTTATTAAAGTCGCATTTTGAGAATTTCTTCTTAATATGCGATTGTAGCATATGTTGTTGCATTTTATAAACAATCTGCAGTTCTTTGCCAGCGCATTCATGTGCGTATGCATGCACACAGATTTATATTTATCTGGAAGATAAAAAATATGCCATCTGGTTGCAGTATAAAAGAAGCTGTGATCAATTGGAGCTCCACAGTCAGTTTAGTTTCTTTCAGACCACAACTTAGATTATCTTGTTTTGTCTGACAGTGGACTGATTCTGTACACTTTTGAAACTACTTTTGAACTGTTTGTTTGGAAGTAGAATGCTAGTACTTTTGCGTGAAACTTGAAGATAGTGTTTGTGCGAGGTACTTCAATAACTTTTTGCTGGAGCAAATCTGCATCATATGAATTTGACTGTTCTTTGACTTGGAATCTAATAAAGACTATATGTAACGTAAAGAAGATGAATAAATGGTTATAGCGTAAACTGTACTTAGCTGAGAATTCTACACAATAATAAATGAAACCAAGTTCATAATTAGGCTTATTATATAAATGCTTTGTTTTCAAAAAAGTGATCCATAGTTCAAAGTATGGCTTTGCAGCAGACATCCACCATGAGGAAATCAGCAAACACAAGAGCAAATTTATGTAGAAACATAAAATTATTATAAATATGAACCAGGATACAGGAGTTGGTATAGTGACTGGCTACGGGCTGGACGACCAAGCGATTGGAGTTCGAGTCCTGGTGGGAGCAAGAATTTTTACTTCTCCATGTCAGCCAGACTGGTTCTGGGGCCCACCCCGCCTCATATCCAATGGGTACCAGAGGCTCTTTCCCCAGGGGTAAAGTGGCCGGTGTTTGAACCTCACCACTCACCTCCAGCTAGTGACGAGGTCAAGAAAATGTGTATCTATACATCCACTCCCCCATACACACATTTTTAAACACAGGGACAACTTTATCTCTATAAATATGAACCAATTGTGTATCAGTTGAATTGCACAGTTACAGAAATCACCAGTTAATATAACCTACCACCACAACACCTAAACTGAGAGGATGTTTGCCTGTGGATGAGAATCATGTAAATATGTCTATTGAAACGAAAGTGGTAATCAGAAGGACTCAAGATGAACTAATTAAGAGAACTTGAAAGACACTCACATGAAGGAATACATTAATATGAAAATCTTCTGTTAAATATTATACGTCATCCGCTGAATGCAGTAAGGATATTGTTCATTTCATTGTAGGACAACACTGAAAGTTTTAACTTTTAGTTTTGTTTGTTGACAGGCTCCCAGATATTCTCCTTAGCACCATGTTCTCAAATATCCTCAATCGATCCCTTGCTGTGTGAGACAAAGTTTTACACCATACAAAACATCAAGTAATATTATGTGTTGTATGTTCTGATAAATGTCTTAGTTTAATTGATGTACTAGATTTTGCTCCCTTAGATGTGGCAAAGGTTTCAGTTCTTTTGAGCAATGTATACATTGCTTTAGAGATCTGTTTTTGTTGTGTAATCTTGCAGACATTTTAAAAAAATGTCCTTCAGATTGTACCTTTGTACAAGAATTTTGCTCATGGATGGACTAATATGTTGTCATATGTCATGTAATATTCCTGACATGGCAGCCAAACTGCTGACTATTCATGTTTTGGGTATTATTTTTGCCAGTTTTAGGATAAATTTTTCACCATCAGTTAACCCTTTGACGTGGTCATTTAAATTCCGCGGCCGCGGCTCCTGCGGTAATATATTCAGCCGGCCATTTAAATTTTGCTCGAAAATTATTTATTCATCATTGTTCTTAAATTCTATGAGATAGGAACATGAAACTTTCACTAAAATGATCTTAAATGGTGGTTTTATAACCTTACCTTATAATATGGGCGCCCTGTATCTCGGCCATGGAAGCAGGTTGTTTAGTATTTCAGCAGTGAATGGTACGCCTTGAAGGATGAAACTTTCACTAAAATGATCTTAAATGGTGGTTTTATAACCTTACCTTATAATATGAGCGCCCTGTATCTCGG